TTTGCCTCAGTCGATGAATACCTGAAAAAAAAATGTTTTTATTAGATACGTTAATTGTTAAACTTGATGTTTTAACTTACCTTTCCAATAACTGCCGAATAACTTCTAAGTGAAACTTTGCAAATGGAACCTTTTCTGGATGCTGCGTCGAAAACATTGCGTGAGAATTTAGTAAGGTAACATCCACAGAATGAAAGAATACCTTTGCATACCATTTTATTGATTTACGAGTGCAATCAATGCTACTGATCATCATGTCCGACCTGTCAACTGCGCCCATATGCGTGTTATATTCTACAACGCATAACGGCTTCTTTATATTTTCTTTTCTAATCCTGCTTATTTTAGGAAGAGAGACAATTTTATTTGCATGTATTGTTGTCAGCATTATAACATCGCGGCGGTCTTTCCATTTGAGCGCCAACATAGTATTGCTACTTCTCCAGTCGACTTCACCAGTTTTTAGTTTCTTCTCAAATACTGGCATTTGTTTTCGGTTTTGTCGTACCGTGCCGCAAGAGTTCGTTTTGTGTTGGAACAGATAATTTGACAGAGACGGGCTCGTATAAAAGTTATCTGTAAACAGCGAATGCCCTTTATTTAAAAAAGGGCTCATTAGTTTGGCAACAATGGCTCCCGTAATACCCAGATCATGATTTTTTTCAGCTTGTACATTTGTAGCTTTACCCGCGTATATGATGAAATCTAAGACGAAGCCCGTTTCACAGTCACAAAGAACGTATAACTTAACTCCAAATCGATGTCTTTTAGTTTTAATATATTGTTTAAATGCCAACCTTCCTTTAAACAACACCATGCTTTCATCTATAACTAAGTTCTCGAAGGGATAAAAATTGTTCTGAAAGTTTCTTCTTAATTTTTGCATCACCTGGTCAATTTTATACAGACGATCATTCAATGGTACTTCTTCGTTATTGCAAAAGTGCAAATAACGGCGAATTTGAAAATATCTGTCTCTTGACATCTTTTGACGGAAACTAGCCGTATGTAGTAAATTATCCTGAGACCAGTACTCCTTCATTTCAAGTTTCTTCACGCGTGGCATTAACATAGTTATAGCAAGAAAAACATACAATTCTGGCAGATTAATATCTTTCCAGTTTTTAGCCTTTTGTTGGGCGGCATACCTGTTCATTTCTGTCACAACTATATTTACTATTTCTTCGGAAAACAGGCTAAGAAAGTAATCTACTTCTTTTGAGTCCGGAGTCAAATTATCGTTCTTCAAACCACTGTTATTTCGGTCAAATTCATGTACTCGAGGGACAAATTCATTCGAGGTCCAAAAAATCTCCTGTTCACTTTGCTGCAAAATAGCTTCCAGATCTTCTGGTTCCTCATTTTGTGTAACTTGTTCGGTATCGTAATTTTCGTCAACCGAAGAGACTTCAGAACTAATACTTTCACTTTCTAAATTATCGGGTGAGTATTCGCTGCCGCTGTCTTCAAATGGGTCCTCCTCACTAAGGTAGATATCATCCTCATCCACAACGGATAAAATTTGCCTGATATCGTCCTCGCTCAAGCCGCAGTAACTAGAATTTTGTTGCTTACGCTTTTGGCCACGTGTAGGCCTTTCAGAGGGACCGGCGCACTCTTCCTCTGCCATTTCAAGTAAGACTATAACGCTCGGTTTCAAAAATCGCAAGCACGATACAGACGCTAGACAGTGTAGCCGGATGTCGTAAATTTTCGGCAACGCCAAAATCTTCCGTCATCCGGCTAAGCAGTGAGCGAAACATTGACATAATATTACGGCGCTCGTCTGTGGTGAAATGCCAGTTTCTAAAAGTGTCGAATCTGTTAGGCAGTAGGCTAATGGATATAATTCTTCGATGTCGGATATATACGTCAGCCGGCCGGTGGGTATATTCTATAACTGACGTATAAATATGTCAGCCGTACTGAAAGGGTTAATCTCTGATTTCCACGGACATCTAACAAATTTTCAACAACAGATTTTTCGCCAGAGTTCAATCTACGATTTGAGGGCAAGTGATCAAAAACCGCCTAAAAAAAGACTCAATTATATACCTGAAATATTTGACTAGTCAACAACCACGCAAGTATCCTTTCTCTACTTTAAAACTCTCATAATGCGAAATAAATAAAAATAATTATACGCTTACTGTAGACATATCATGATTTTCATGTTTCTCCAAAAACTGTTTAACTTCGAGGCGATCGCCTACCTTAGTAGCTCGAATTTTAATTTTAGCTGGGCAGTTCATCTTGTGAGTTCTAAAATATGTAAAAACAAATCCTTAGATATTCAATTCTTATCATACTTTACCTAAATAAAAAAGTGACTTTTAGTCGAATTGTTAATGGCACTACCTGATGGCCAAGATCAAACTACTGACACCGTTTATAGGTTAATGCCTAGTTCAACTTTTCTACCTTGTTTTGCGAGTTGAATTCTCGAAGCCAGGATTTTACTTTTTAAAAAATATTTATTTGAGTATCGACCGACTATTACAAAGATGAGTTATGAACTAAACTGATTAACAAATGAATAAAACCAAGTAAACCAAAAATGTCTATGTTGCATTTCCCGTAAAGGTGAACGCCGTTCATGTGCCGACGTATGGTTACCGTATCCGGTTGGATACATAACTTGCGTATGCCTTTTCAACGAGTCTTTACAACACCACCATGAACACAACACAACTGAGCTTCATAGTATTTTAGGTCACTGTTTAGTTGTCGCTTTAACATTTTCTGTGCTGCCTCAATTGTTCTGCTACCTTTTAGCACAAATTTTTATCTGTTCACTGTTTCATACTGATTTAGCGAACTTTTAAACTGAGCAAAAGAATCAAATGTTTGACCAAACTGCATAATGAGAATTATCATTCAAAACTTGCCACATAAACTTAACAAAAAGATGAACGCATCAATTAAGAAGCAATAAATAACATAAATCGCACATAACCTCAAAATGGTCATGGATATCGCGTGTATTTAATAAACGACACCATGCGTGCACGCTTAAACATGACGTCATTACTATTATGACGTTTCGCGTGTACCCAATTATTTTCTGAGGGTACAAGTTAGCGTGTACCTAGACACAGCGTTAAATTTCCCTCGAAAACAAATTTATTGATGGAATCAGGTTCACAAGGAAATAGCATTTGAGACAGTCAAGTGTGGAATTGTTGATGCAGTGCTGGAGGCGTTCTTGGAAGATCGCGTATACTCCAACATCGCTCTCTCAACTTGGGCGACTTCCACGCGAATTTCGCCCTTCAATTTGTCCAGAGTTCGGGGCTTGTTCGCGCATACTCTAGCCTTGAGGTGTCCCCATAAGAAAAAATAGCATATGGATAAATCTGGGGACCGAGGAGGCCAATGAACATCGCCAAACAAGGAAAAAACGCGACAAGGCAAGAGAGGGCGAATAACGTCCATGGATGCTCGGGCTGTGTGTGCGGTTGCCCCATCCTGCTGGAATCACACACGTTGGATTGGAACACGTCGCCGTCGTAATTCAGGGAGAAAGAAGTTGGTGATCATGTCGACGTAGCGCTCTGAGTTCACGGTAACATCACGACCATTACCGTCTTCGAAGAAGTAAGGGCCAATGATGCAAGTTTGCGATACAGCGCACGAAACCGTTACTTTTGGGCTGTGCAGCGGTATTTCGTGTAACTGTTGCGGATTTTCATTAGCCCAATAACGACAATTCTGCTGGTTAGCCATGCTGTTTAGGTGAAAGTGGGCTCCGTCACTCATAAACAAAATGAGGTTCTCATTTTGATTGATCAGAGCTTCCATCTTACGTGCGAAGTTCATTCGTTGTGCATAATCTCCGAGCTGTAACTGTTGCACAATGGCCAATTTGTAGAGGTGAAAGCGGAGATCCATATGCAAAATTCGCCTTACCGAACGATCACTAAGGCAAAGTGCAGCAGCATGTTTCCGGGCAGATCGAGTCGGACTGCGAAGAAAGACCTGTCGAACGCGTTAACATTTTCAGGAGTTCGAACTGTTCGCGGCGCTCCTCTTGGTCTTCTGTTGATCAGTTCACCACACCTGCGAAGTGATTCAACCCAACGAAGGATGGTGTTTCGAGAGGGAACAGCTCTATTCCGATGAATGTTGAAGTGGCGACGAAACTCACGCTGTACGACGATGACTGACTCATTATTTCGAACGAAACAATCATAGGCGAAAACGCGGTGCTCCACCGTCCAAGGCTCCATAACGACAACTGGTAAAATAATGCTAGGATCTCACGAGTCAAACGGCACCCTCCCCACCTCTCTCGTAGACGGAGGCGGAGAGTACTACCCATCCAAAAAACGTCCGTACTCTCTGCCGCACCCTGTATATATCTATATATACATATACACAGGGTGTTCCATAATTATTGCGACAAAATGATAGGGGTTGTAAAGGGCATCAAAATGAACAATTTTGCCTCATAAACCCCTGTTCGGAAATATGCCGTTTGGGCTGCAGCAAAAAAAATATCAGTTTCTTGAAACAGCTTACCTACAGTAATTGCTCAAAGTGTCCTCCACCTTGCTCAATACATAGCTGTGCACGATTGTTCAATGATCGGCGAACTCTGGGGCATATCCCCGGTATGTCCTGAACATGTGCGGACGCGGCCATCACTCTTCCCAGTAGCTCTTGTTGGTTGGGAACAGGAGTTTCGTACACTAAAGCTTTCAGATGGCCCCAGAGAAAATAATCCAGTGGGGTCAGGTCGGGTGACCGCGCAGGCCAAGGCACAGGGCCACCTCGGCCTATCCACCTATTTGGAAATTTATCGTCCAAATACTGCCGCACTTGTAAAGAAAAGTGGGCTGGAGCGCCATCGTGTTGAAACCACATGTTGGCTCTTATGTTCAGTGGCACATTTTCTAATAGTTCCGGTAGCACATGCTGTAAGTATCGACCATAAGCATGCCCATCCAAACGTGGTGGAAGCAAATATGGCCCGATGATATGCTCGTCCACAATGCCGCACCAGATGTTAATTGAAAACTGATGTTGGTCTCTATGGATGGCTATGGCATAAGGGTTTTCTTCATCCCAAATGTGACTGTTATGCCGGCCACAGACTATCAGGTACACCTGACAGGTACGCCTGAACAGTTACGCCTGTCAGGTGTACCTGATACCGTAGGAGCACACACACTCTTCATGTATACCTGTCAAGTTTGTCAGTTCACATCATGGATTCTCCTAAAGATGATCTGCTCTTTCTGTCCTTATTTTTTGTAATTTTTGCGATACGTAAAAACAGACGGAAGAAACGCAAACAATGGTGTAAGGAATGGTTGCAGAGAAGAAATGAATTTACCCATATAAATCTCCTTAATGATTTAAGACATGAACCATCTGATTATAACAATTTTCTGCGCATGAACGAATCAGTGTACAACGAGTTGCTGTCACTTGTATCTCCCTTGATTAAGAAGAAAGATACACAAATGAGAACAGCTATATGCCCACACGAAAGACTGACAGCTACTTTGAGATTCTTAGCAACTGGAAAACCGTATGAGTGTCTAAAATATTCAAATAGGATTTCATCACAAACTCTTGGACAAATTATTCCTGATACATGTGTGGCCCTGTACAAAGTTCTGCAGAAATACATTAAGGTATGTCCTCTATTTTGTTCTTTTGTATTAAATTTTTAAACTATCAAATAGTATGTTTAACAATAAGACACTATTTTAATAATAATAAGAAAGGAAAAAGTGGAAAGTAAACTTTTAATATATTTAAACAAACTTTTTATTTTCACATTTACTCATTCAAAAGTTTCAGTGAAATTTGACAAAAAACTTGATGCTGTTTCTGTATTGTTGTGAGAAGTTGGGTTTTGTTCTTGTTGTGTGAATGGTGCGTGATATTGTGGACTTGGTGTGGGAGATGGTGTGTAATGTTGTGGACTTGGTGTGGTAGATGGTGTGTAATGTTGTGGACTTAGTGTGGGAGATGGTGTGTAATGTTGTGGACTTGTGAAAGTGGAATTTGGGTAGTTAATAGCGCACATTTCTGCTTCATATAATATGTCGTTAATTTTTTTTTCGAACATGATGTGCAGGCGTTTATATTTTATGCCCCTCATTTTTATACCTACTGTTCGCCTCAAGAGCTCGCAACAGTCGATTTGTGGTTGCGGTCGTTTGATATGATCGCGAACAGTAGACAATATCTCAGCTGATACATCATCATTAGATTTCCTCTTTATACTGGGCCCAGGTCGTGAAATCCCAGCCGACGCCGCAGGTTGATTCGATTCCCGCCGCTCTTCTTGACAGACAGTGGGTGTCAATTGGTTTTCCTCTGGAGATGATGGGTCATCAATGTTCACCTAAAATCAAAATACAGTTTAATTTTGACGATTAAAACATTATTTTTATTTTTCAGTTTCCCAATTCTACAGAAAAATGGGAAAGAAATATCAAAGGATTTTGAGAATCGATGGAACTACCCACACTGCATAGGCGCCATGGATGGCAAGCATATTGATATAATTCCCCCAAGAAATTCGGGCTCTTATTATTTCAACTACAAAGGAAAGCATAGTATGGTTCTTCTTGCTATTGTAGATGCAAACTACCGATTTCTCCTTGTGGATTTCGGAACTAATGGCCGCGTATCCGACGGCGGTGTACTCCAAAATACACGTTTCTATGAAAAATTAGTGGAGAAAAATCTACATATTCCTTCGCCTGACGACGTAACTGAAATTTTTAAAAATGTCCCCTATGTGTTTGTGGCGGACGATGCATTTCCGCTGACAACTGAAATTTTGAAGCCATTCAGACAGGCATTTCTCAATTCTGCCAAAAAAGAGGTTTTTAACTATCGTATATCTCGCGCAAGGCATATAGTTGAAAACGTATTTGGTATTCTTGCATCGAGATTTCGTATTTTTCATACGGCAATAAATTTAGAACCACAAAATATTGAAAAGGTTGTGATGGCAGCTTGTGCTCTGCATAACTTTTTGATGGATAAACAACCTACAGTTTATGCCCCTGCAAATTGTTTGTATCAAGAAAGTGATCAAGATGGCAATATTTTGTCTGTTGGCTGCGATAGTACATAATCTAATATGAACCCACTACAATCTTGTAATCGAGGAAATATTTGTGAAAATGCCAAAGAAGTTAGAGAACAATTCATGGATTACTTCATGGACGAAGGGAAAGTGCCATGGCAAAATAAACACATATTGAGGAACAACCAGAACTAATGAAATAAAGCGTAAAGTAGTACAGTGTGGAAGGCTTTCTAAACTAACACTTTTATTTACCTACCTAAGTAAAAATAAACTCAACTAAACAATTATTTATATACAGATTTAAATAAACATTGTCAAAAATAATATTTATGTTTTCCTTACCTCATCATTGTCCCTTTCAGGAGATAAATTTGAGACCGATGATCTAGGATTATCTTGGTCCTTTATGAAATCAAAAAGTTCGAAGTACCAAAGAGAAGGTTTGTATACATTATCTGCTGAGGCGCCAGATTTCATTGAGGAGTCAATTTTCTTCTGCTCCTTTCGAACATTGGATCTCAAACTGTTGATTTTTTTTTAACCAAGGTCTCGTTTGCATCAGGCTCTATTTCCTTCAATTTGTTTACTAATTTTCTGTATGCAGCATCTCTCTGGTCTCTATTGCGATAGTCATTATCTTTCACTTTCCACAAGCAAGGTTCACTCTTATAAATTTCAATAAGATCACCAAGAACTTCATTATTCCGTTGCGACATTTTTCAGTATCTACCTAAAACTGATTGTTTTGAAAATTTAACCTGTCCACATCAAAGAATTGCTAAAAACTGAGACCTGTTCAGGTTACACCGCCACACACACGTCAAGTCTACTCGCCTGTCAAGCAGAACTGATCGAATTCTCATCAGTTGTCAGGTCGCCTGACAGGCTAGATATTCCCGCCACACACTATAAGGTACACCTGACAGGAGTAACTGTTCAGGCGTACCTGTCAGGTGTACCTGATAGTCTGTGGCCGGCATTACGGCTATTAAAATAACCGTCCTTTGTAAAACAGGACTCGTCAGTAAACAAAACGTAGCGACCAAAGTTTGGTTGCCTCAACTCCTGCTGCAGTCACCGACGACAAAAACGTCGACGCGGCAGATAGTCTTCTGGACCCATGGCTTGGACTTTTAAAAGGTGGTATGGGTGAAGTTGCTGGTCATGGAGAACCCGCCAAACAGTAGTTTGAGACGCTCCCATATCATGTGCAATAGCACGCACGCTACGCGGATTGGCCTCTACATGATGCAGAATCGCTTTTTCAAATTCTACTGTGCGTCTCGTGAAGGGCCGCCCTGCTCCCGCGAGGTGTCTGATGCTGCCACTGACACGAAGATGTCCATGAATCCTTGCAAAAATGGCGTGATGCGGATGAGGACGTTCTGGAAACCGTTGGGCGTAGATTCGCGAGGCTCGTCTTCCGTTACCACCAGCTTCTCTGTAAATTAAATGCATATCCGCAAGTTCCGCATACGAATAACGCTGCATTTTAAGACTAAGGTACTGTTATTTACTATCTAGTTTGACGCACCACTCAGATAAATTAAATGAATCGATGTGGATAATTTACGATAACAAAAATGTAAACACAGCAGGCTTTTTTTACAAACCGGCGAGACCATGAAAAGGCGCGTACACATCTGGCGAACGCATGTGGCCGAAGCTCTTCGATCGAATTCATTCGATGATTTCGACGTTCGATGGAAAATTTGCTCTGCCGTCCACATTACGGTGAACGAATTCGTTTGCAGTCATTCGTCGAGGTTCGCGGGTATTTTTGTAAATGGTAAAAAATGGCGTCCGATGATGAGGATATAATTATTGCAAGTGCGTTGTATATTATTATTAGTGAGGCGGAGACCGAAGCATTGAAAGAGCCCCCCAAGAAACGACGAAAACGGCGCTGGTGGACAACATCATTGTTCAAAAGCAGAAGTCGGTATAGAGGGATGGACTTAATTAGTGATCTAAAAGCTGAAATGGAATACGGACTTTTTGTAAATTTTTGTAGAATGAAGTCTACTGATTTTGAATGGTTATTAAATGAAATCGGTCCAAAAATCGCGAAACAAGATACAAAGTTTAGAGAAGCAATACCGTCAACAGAAAGGTTAATGTTAACCCTACGATATTTAGCTACTGGTGACTCATATACAAGTTTAATGTATACTTTTAAAATTTCAAAACAACTCATTTCAAGGATTATACCAGAAGTTTGCTCTGCTATAATTGAGATGCTTCAAGAATACGTTAAGGGCACGTTCAGATGACACGCGTTCAACGCGCGTTGAACGCGCTCTAAATTTTTGTATAGTGTTCACATGACACGCGCTTGTCAGGCGTTGAACGCGCGTTACCGCGGCCGCCATGGTTCAGTCAGAAGAGTTGTTATATTTGTCGAAGATGGACGTAGAAACAGTTTTAACGGTGAATTTATACCGACGATGGCAGAAACGACGCGACAGAAGACGGAGATATTGGGTCCACCCAATTTTGTCACACAGGCTGACTGAAAGCCAGTACATAATTTTGTATCCCAAGTTAAGGCAATTCGGACCCAAATTTTTTAACTACTTCAGAATGTCCATCAAGTCATTTGATGACTTACTGGCTCTCATAAACGATGAACTCGTAGCAGATAAAAACGCTGTGCGATATAGCATTTCACCAGAAGAAAAACTCATAATTACATTGAGGTAAGTTTTTTATTAATCAAAATATCTATAAATCAAATCAACAAGGAAATATTTTTTTTTAAAGAAAAAAGAACATTTTGTTATTCGCAGAATAACTCTAACTCCGATTCATTGCTGGCATTAGTTGTTGCTGGCGATGGAGTGTGTGTTACTGGCGATAGAGGTTCCAGTGCTGTAGTATAACCATAATGTGCTAAATTATTTGGCACACTAGATTGCTGTGATCTATAATCATGATGTTGAAAGCCTTCAACAGAAGCTTGATTACGCTGCTCTTGTGACAAATAACTTCTTCGTTGTGGTAACGGGTTACGATAATTTTAATTTTCAAATGTCTCATGTTGCGGTCCTTGATGGACATTTTGGTTTTGCAAGATTAAATTATAAATGCCAATTTTAGTATGAAGTCGTCTATATTCCGGGATTTTTTTAATCTCTTTAACGAGTGGCAAACAAAATAGCTTGTCTTCATCGTTATCTTCTTTTGGATGCGAAGCATTTTTCTGTGCTAAACTCTGCTCTAATATGCTTGCAAATCTTTCGTCAGCAGAACTTATTTTTTGTTTTTTTCTTGGAGTAGATGTATTAGGACTCTTAAAGGCAGAACTGACTTCTACCTCAGCAACTTCTGACGAAGCTGATGCATTATCTGCATCGAAACTACTTTCTGTATCTTTGTTGGCTATAGATTTCTGTAGAAATCGTAGTCTATTATAATGAATATATGACGAAGTTTTGGACGCTCCTGATCCAGATTTAACAGTCTTCATTTTCTTCACCTCTCTCATATAATTATCTCGTAAACTCTTCCATTTCTTTTGCAGGGATAACGCTGAAAGAAAAAACAGTATTTAGTAATAGTTTGTTTTTTTTTCAGATATTTGGCCACAGGATGTTCACTTGGGACATTAAGCTACGATTATAGAATTGGAAAATCTACTGTGGCTACTATAATACCACATGTATGTGAAACTATTTGGAGAAAATTGAGACCCATTGTTATGAGTGAACCAACGAAAGAAAAGTGGTATGAAATATCCACGATATTTGAAAAGAACTTAAAGTTTCCAAATTGTTTGGGAGCCTTGGACGGGAAACATATACGGTTAATCCAGCCTGAACACACGGGTTCCATGCATTATAACTACAAACACTTTTTTTCGCTAGTTTTATTGGCGCTAGCGGATGCAAACTATTGTTTTGTGTGGGTTGACATAGGTGCCTATGGTAAAAACAGTGACTCAGGTATATTCAACAATTCATCATTGTACAAAAAGCTGACAGAAAGGTCATTAGACCTACCTGAGCCAAAGGCATTGTTAATACAAAATAGACCGACAGTGTCGCCATATGTGATAGTGGCTGATGAAGCTTTTGGTATGATGGAGAATTTAATGCGGCCATATGGGGGAAGGTCACTAACTTATGCTAAAAAAATATTTAATAACCGTTTGACATTAGCACGCCGGTATGTTGAATGTACTTTTGGTATAATGTGCAATAAATGGCGCATTCTACATAGGCCGTTAGATGTTAACATCGGTTTTGCAGAAAAGATCGTAAAAGCGATATGTACACTACACAATTATGTCAGAATGAGGGATGGCTACAATTATGAAGATACACTTTATACTCCACCACTGGAAAATGTAGCCTCACATTATACCGGGCGTGCTGTGCGACAGGCGGATAATGTTCGAGTACATTTAACAAATTATTTCATCAACGAAGGAAAAGTTGATTGCTTGGATCGCAATATTTAATTTGTAACACAAACTGATTGTAAATGTAAATAAATATACTCACATAATAATTTCTTCTTTTCCTCATTGTCATCTTCACAGAATATAAGGACGAGTTCTTCCCAAGCCCGTCTCTTTAAGTTCTTATCTGAATAATCGCTACTTGCCATGTCCCATATCGCAGGACGTTTCTCTATTTCATCTATCAATAATTCCGTATTAAAAGCTTCGGTTTCCATTTCGGACGATTTCTGAACGAACTGGTACTGATGAACCCTAAAATACGTCTATCCACATCGAAAGCGCGCGTTCAACTGAACGGAAACATAGAAAACCAATGATCTCGAAGCGCGCGTTGACGCGCGCTAAAAACAGTCGAGCGCTATGCAGCGTTCAACGCGCGCTTTATTAAAACGTGCGTCAGCATGTGTACGGTTTGAATAAAATGTATGTAGTTGTAAACGTGCCCTAAGGTGAGTTCAATAGTTATGTATAATATGCTTTAGGTATTTATTAAAAAGTCTAGGGTTTATATAAAAAAAAAACAAAAAATGCCTTAAAGACTATCTGTAAATGCATTTATAAAACGTATAATGGGTGTCTTCGGATTATCAGTTTCCTGTAACGTCAGGTTTGATGGGGTCGCCGACAAAAAAGACTCATTTTCATTCAGTGGACCATCTGATTCTGAAGGTGATGGTAAAGGAGTACTGATGCTTTGAGTGTCTGAAGCATATTGATTATATGAATTGGGTGTTGTACTAGGCATGTACTCGGATTTTTAACTATCGACTCAGTAGGGCCCGTAGAATAGTTGAAAACGTGTTTGGGATTACATCTGCTGTTTTTCGCATTTTAAGGAAGCCAATTTTACTAGAACCAGAAAAAGTAAAAATCATTGTAATGACTATAGCGTATCTTCACAATTTTCTAAGGAACTCTCCCTTTTCTAGAAATATATATACACCTCCTGGAACTTTTGATAATGGACCAGATAAAAACATACCAGGAGAATTGAGAACTGCTCAAGACAATGCCAATAGTTTGTTGCCTCTTCAAAATATTCCACGTAGATCTTCCGAAAACGCAAAAATGGTTAGAAATGAATTTACGGAATATTTCATAACAAATGGACGTGTACCTTGGCAAGATAATTATGCCTAAGTTAAAAAATGTGTATCATGTATAAATACTTACCATTTCTCGAGTTTCGGTATCTAGGGTGCAATTTGGTTGGTCTTTGTCGAGCAGAAATTTCATCCGTTCAAAAGCAAACTATTTGGAAACAAAAATTTCAGTTGTACCTAAAATAAATAAATAAACCCATTATTACATATGAGCTTAAGTGGACTTTTATTTTTATAACTTTTTAAGCTATATCTTTAAGTTTAAAATTATGTATATTTGTTTAAAAATTATCTAATATATGAATAAACCCTAAAAGTTCAGCCGCCGTTGTTAATTTACTTAAAGAAAAACACAATACCTTTTTCTGTACCCACGGACTTCTTGCATTTGCTCCTTTGAGCCCTAAAAAACCCAAGTAAGCTGCTCATTTTCTTCTTCACGACTGCTAAATCCATATTAAGATTTCTTGAAATCGACTCCCATGCATCTTCTTTTTTTGTTTTTGAATAATAAAACTTATTTTTTGGATCCCATAATATAGGGTTTTCTTCATACAAATCTATTAATTGCAAACATTGTTCATTTGACCACTCCATTTTACACATAAATCACTAAAATGAATAAAACTCAATAAATCCTGACTTGTCTCGCAAATGCAGCAAATCTCCACGTTATCCGTCTAAACTGAGCGCGAACGCATACGTATGTTTCTTTTGATGTGTGCGTAAAAACCGACACCACTCTGGCTCGCGGCATGTGTGCTTAAGTCATTCGCAACAAGCAATGCATGCGGCGAGAGGCTACGAAAGCGCCATCCACATTTGCACACGTATGTGTATTCGTGGCTGCTCTCCGCATGCGTTTGTAGGTCTGTACGCGCCTGTGCTAGACGAACATTTTGCAGCTGGCGAATTTTTTGTTTCTCCTATGGGCTCTTAAGGTAAAATTAGCGGTAGTGCTCAAACGGCATATTTACGAACATGGGTTTATAAGGCAAAATTGCATATTTTTATGCCCTCTATAACCCCTATCATTTTGTCGCAATAATTATGGAACACCCTGTGTATATATCTTAAATCATTAGATTTAGAAATAACTTTTAAAAAAATTTTATTTGAGGACTGAAGCTTCAGTCCATATAAAATACAAAGGTTTACAAAAGTGACATTTACGGAGTCTAACCGGGTATTGAATGACAGGATATGACCGCGAGACCTATTTATACATTCGGAAAGCTGACTAAGAATTAGTAGAAAACAGCAAAGGCACAATTCTAGCAACGGATTAGCGAGAAGTTGTTATCATATGCTGACACAGCATCTGGTGCAACATTGTATAATAACTGCGTAGTTACTATGGCCATATAACAACTCCACCCTATTACAAAAAGTTGTTGCTATGCGACAACTTTTGACAAAAATTGAAAAATGTAAAAATATCAAAAAAAAAAAATGTCAAAAGTATAAATTTGTAAAAATGTAAAAATTGTAAAATTATAAAAATTGTAAAAGTGTAAAGTGTAAAATTGTAAACATTGTAAAAATATAAAAAGGTGTAAAAATATAAAAATAGTAAAATTGCTAAATACAAATTGCAAAAGTAAAATCAGAAAATACAGATTCTGAAAAATAAAATTGTTAGCATAAATGCGGTACATTGGCGATGCAAAAAACATCTAAAAGCAAAGCTGGAACAAACAAATAATAAGATACAATCGTACAGTCGTATGGGCAAAATCACATGGAAGATAACACGAAAATTGAAAATGACTTTTTGAACAGTGAAAACACTTCACGGAACACTCACTGCAGTTCGATGTCTTCTTCATGTGGCTGGATGGTTGGTCTACGTCGAGGAAAAAGTCTGGGAATGTACCGGACTTTTGGTGCTCCTGGAGATGGGCCATCGGCTGGATAATTTGATGCGCAGATGCTGAGTGGTCTACGTTTTCTGCACTTGCAGAACAGGTACAAAGCTACGATGATCACTAACAGGGTGATGATGAAATACGTGAACCATGAGATATGTCTCGAAACAAACGGCTCGTTCATAATTTTGTCCAGTTGTTCAGAATATTGGTTTAATTTGTGATTGGCAATTTCGAGTTCTTCAGTATCGATCTTGCTTAGCTTGATCGGTTTTAATTTTGGTAAATTTTGTTTCTCTGGGAGATGTTCACAGCATTTGTAGGGTACTTCTACAGGGTGACTTTTGTATGTGATATTCTTGTAGGTGCTAACAGAATATCTAGAATGTAATCTCGTGGTGCCTACAAAGCCACTGCATTCGGGCTGCATTTTTTAAAAAGAATTAACTTTTATCACTTTGGTGGTAGTCTCTCGTTGTCCACACTTCATCGTAATTGGCAGAGGGCTAGATATGGTGATTAGCCAAAAATTGGTTGCAAGTTCTTGGATTTTGTAATCTTGCAATGCCACAATTGCTATTTGGCAGGCTGTCGGCAGATCGACCGGATTTCGGAACAACTGTGCTTCGCAGACTGCATTACTGTCTATTGGATACGGCAAGAGGTTGAAACAGATTTTCACCTGAGACTGAAGAACTTTACAACTACCTAAATTTTGAAAGGGAACGTACAAAAGATAATCGCTATCTTTAGCAATGTATCTCTGTATAGTGGAAACTACATGAAACAAACCAGTACGTTTATCGAGAATGGGTAGAGGAATCACTCTGTATAAAGTATACATTTCGGGCTCTAATAACGGGATGCGTAGGACGAGTTCCATAAGATTAAGGTACTCTGACACAAATTAACTGGAAGGGGTAAATTATTTCACGACAAAGTGTGAGAGATTTCTTGAAGAGAATTTACTAAGTCTTGAGGAGTGATAATAGAAGGATGTATTATTTTTAAACGTGCAAAAGTAATTGAATTTAGAATATCATTAATTGTCTCTTCTAGAAACATGTAGCTTTCCATTAATTGTTCGCAAACTTCTAAAAATTGGAATTTAGCTTCATAAAATGCAAGATCGTCTGGAATTTCATAAATTTTGTTTTCAATAACCTTAATATCTTCATTAAACGTAGTTTCATCAATCATAAGTTTTTGAATAGTGTTATTAAAATTCTTGATAACCGACACGGTAACAGAAATTTGGTTCTTCATGAGGTTTTCGAGCTCATGTTCATCTTTAGAAATTTTGTTAATACAATCGCTATAGTATTCACCGTTCGATGAATCGAGGTTGCCGGTTATTGCATTCCATATGGTACCTATGGCGTTAATCAGACCGCGTTTCATCCGCGATGCGCTTACAGTGTCATCGAAGATCGAGTAATATTTAGATTTCAAGGAACGAGAAATTTGATAAAGGAGACTTGTTATCGTCAAGTGCTTTCTTAATGAGTTCTAAGTCTTTATATACAAGGAGTGTCCAAATTTCGTTGGAAATCTTAAGAGGGGCGTCTTCATGAAAATAGATACGTAAGGTGTTGTTAATCGGTTTGATGTCTATCTGGGCTGTGACAGCCGCAAGAAACAGCAGACTGCACCTGAAAGAGAAACTAAGTCTCAAAACATGGTTTCAGTCTGTCAAAATTAACTTTACTTATTCTATTTGTTTCCGGGTTCTTAAGGAGCGCGGAATTTTGAAAAACTTGAGTAATTTCGAATGGACCATCAAATTTGTTCTGAAGCTTGTTTGAAATTTGAGACTGTTTCACAAAGACTTTATCGCCAACTTTATATGATTGTAAATTTGGTGACACTCTACTATCAAAGCGAATTTTTGCTTTTTGCTTCTGTTCGTCAGTTCTCACGCGGGCAATTTTGTAGTGTAATATTCGAGTTTATTCCGAATGTCTCGAACATACTTTTACATCAATTCTTTTTCTAAATATACGTGTTCGGGCGGACGACCAGAGGT